ACCATACAAGTCAAACAACATAAAGAGAAGGCTAGCTAACCTGATAAACCCCTATCTACAAAACAAGAAACTAACCCTGAGCAGGGCTCCTAAACAAACCTAAAGCAAGCTCCTAATCTATCCCTGAACAAAAACCCTATACAACACCTTAAGCAAAACTCTAATCAAAACTCTAAGCAAGAGGAATCAATCCCAGTCTCCAAGCTTCAGAACAAGCTTACCAAAGAAAGGGAGCTAAGCAGACAAACTCATAGTGCCTTCCTCGGGAAAGTACCAGGAGGTTACCACTCAGGAGTCATATCCTATGCGGCTCGACAACTGTGATCAGTTTACATTCCTCCTCAGGAGAAATTAAACTCACATGAAGGTTCCGGCATCATTGGATATTTAAGAAAGCCTATATGCACTAGAGGAACTAAGTGAACAGACCCATAGGACCTTCCTCAGGAAAGTACTAGGAGGCTTCCACCTAGGAATCGTATCCTACGTGGCTCAACAACTGTGATCAGTTTACATTCCTCCTCAGGAGAAATTAAACTCACAAGTTGGCTCCAACATCATCGGATACTTAAGAAATCCTAGATAAACTAAGGGAGCTAAGTGAATAGACCCATAGGACCTTCCTCAGGAAAGTACTAGGAGGCTTCCACTTAGGAATCGTATCCCATGTGGCTCAACAACATGTGATCAGTTTACATTCCTCCTCAGGAGAAATTAAACTCACAAGTTGGCTCCAACATCATTGGATACTTGAGAAAGAGGTGAGAAGAAAGAATGAAAGTCATTCATAGTGCCTTCCTCAGGAAAGTACCATAAACTCCCTTCAAACTTCAGGATCTCGAACCTCACAAACGGGGAACAAGCTCTTAGACTAAGCCCCAATCCACTGCATCCTTGCAAGCTCCAACAGGACTTCAACCAGCTCCCATCTTGAGAAGAATCCACAGGCCATCAAACCACAAGAAACTATCTCTGAAGTTCAACCACAGTTGAACTTCAAAGTCAGAAGCCATCAAGACTTCTCCTATCCTCAAGCCCAGACTAAAACATATCAGAACATCCTACAAAAATCTATCAGAAATCTATGGGAAACTTACATGGCTCTATGACAACATACTAAAAAATCAGAGCAAAATTCAATACCAGATGAAAGAACTAAAATCAACAAAGCATACATATCCACAAACCAATTATTCAATATCAAAACAATACAAAAAATGCAATTAAAATGAAAATGCATGATTAAGCTAATGTTTTTGTACTATAAAATTCTACATTGAATTACGAGTCTACAGAAAAAAGAACGGAATTATTTGATTAAACCTACTATTTTTTATGAATTTTCTAATAATATGCCTGCACTAAAAAATATTTAAAAGAAATCAATTAAATGGAAAATATACCAAAAATAGCAAACAAAAATAAAATGGCATTTTTATTTTTATCTAATTTTCTAGACATTTTCATGAAGTGGTAGAAAAAAGAAGAATTAAAAAAATCAATTGTTTTCATTTTATTATGAGTTTTACAATATGCAAGAAAATATTAAAAGAAATTAAAAAACTAAATTGAAATAAAATTGGAGGGGGGTTCAAACAGCACACTTTTCAATTCTAACTCTGGATGGGCCCTAAATGGGGGGTGTACATAGCAAAGGGCGTAGGCCCATATGAGTCAGAAATCTGTTAAAAAATAAAAAGAAAAAAACGCCTGGGGGTGCAGTTAGTAAGCTTCTCAGGTTAGTTTTCATTGGGCTTACGCCCCAGGGGGTGTGAATAGTAATAAGGGCCTAAGGCCCAGACCAAAATTCTATCTCCTCTCTCACAAAGGGGGGGTACTGAGCAACCCGGGGTGTGTGGTTCAGCAAAACGAGATTGGGCTTTGAACCCAGCCCAAACCCTAACCAGAAACCCTAAATAACAAAACCATACTTCCTCTTCTAATCTATGGCTACTGTTCATCTATGGAAACCCTAGCGCCGCTCATCTTCGTCTTCCTCACCCTCTCTGCAACTTATCTCCAGAAAACCCCAAACAACCTTCACACATCTCACATGAAACCTCCACTAAAACCTAACCTCAAATCCCAGATCTCACCAAAATCCCCTTCGTTTAAACTATAAAAAAAAACCCTAATCCTAAATACCAACACAGCTCCTAATACATTCATAATCCAAACATCTACAAGAAGAGTTGGAAGAAAACAAGAACCTGGAGGCGTGGCGCGATTCGACGAACCCTGGATCTACTGACGAATGATGAAGAACTGGAAAATCTTGAAGCTGTTGAGGGCGAATCCAGATCTGGACGACGATTCCTGAAGATGGCGAGGACGATCTGGGATTTCTTGAAGGTGTTGAAGGTTCAATGTTGATCTGGAGGCTCATGAAGGTCTATGAATGTAGATGAAGGTTCTTGAAGAACGAGTCATGGAGGTGATGAATTTGGACACACAATGACGAATTTTATGATGACCGATGAAGATCTCAGCAAAATCTGGAAACAATAATCGGACGAACGTGAAGAACAATTGAAGGTCGTATGAATTCTGGAAAAAGGATGATGAACGGATGCAAGTTTGGATGAAGAATCTGGAAAGATGGCGGTTGAATCTGGGCGCAAATGATGAGTTTTCCGGCGGTGGTTAGCTTTTTCGGTGAGGTGATGATGAATGTTGACGGAGGAAGAAGATGAAGATCGGACGATTTCTGGGAATTTTGGAGCTTTCTTGCAGTTTCCGGCAAGGACGGTGGTGTTAAGGGTGGCCGGACGGGGTTTGCATGCCGGCCGGTGGCTTCTCCGGCGATGGATGCAGTGGAGACAAGTGTCTCAGAGGAGGTCCTGCATGCAGGACGCGTGGCGTGCGGTTGAGGGAGTGGAGAGGTGGTGGCACACGTGTGGAGAGAGAGGGGATTCTGAGTGGTTGATGTGGCGTGATCCTGAAGCGTAACGTGGGGCCGTCCTTGACTAACACGTGGCGTCTGATCATTTATACCACTGCAACGTTCTGGATGCTTCTGGAAAAGGCTGGACGGATCTGGACACAAGCTGGGACCATTCTGAACTGAATTGGGCTTGCTGATTGAAATTGGCCCACACGAGAAACAAACAAAAACCCAAGCACTGAATGGATTAATGAAATGGATTAAAAATTGGATTAGATGGAAATGGTTAATGATCAATTAAATGAAAAAAACTGAATTAACAAACTCTAATAAACCCACTAATCTAAACTTCTAAACTTATTAAACTCTAATTAACTATATTACCTATTTAAATTCTATAAAAGAAAATAAAAGAAAAATCTATTTATTTATTAAAAAATGAAAAATCTATTCTATATTATTTCTATAAAAGAAAAACAAAACTATATTCTTTTTATTAAAATGATTAAAAAAACTATTAACACTATTTAAAAAACAATTAATATTCTAAAGATATTCTATATTATCCTAAAAATCTATTAAATCCTAAAATGACTAAAAAATCTATTTAAAAATCTATATAAAATTCTAGAAAGAGATTTAAACTATTTAAAATTCTAAAAAATCTATTTAATCCTAAAAATGATTAAAATGCCTATTTAAAATCCACGAAAGTCTATTAAAACCCTAAAAAATGCAGACAAATGCAAATGACCCCCATGAAAGAGCGCACGAGACCAGATCGAATCGAACAGAGAATCCCGAGCATCAGAATATCCCAAAATCACTATGCAAGCTGAAAATCACCGAGAAGCGCACAATTTCCCGAGAATAAAACCCTGGTGATCTAGACTGGATCTGCCATATCTGATAGACGAAAATCAAGCTGTAACCCTGATATCCTCTGTTTGTGCACAAATATCATGCGTCTGATTTGTGAATATGAAATTAACCCACGAGTCAGATAGGAGAATCGGTTGGTCAAATTTTAGGGTGCAACACCTTTCTGTTACCAGTATCAAACAATAATTCAATCAACTTGAATGTCAAGGCGACGAGAGATGTGATGCCACCCGAAAACCGAAACTCTGCGGACGGAATCAAAAACTGAGGAAAAGGCATTTTGAGATGCTTTTCTCAAACGATAAGTAGCCCCTATTTATACAACTTCACATTTATTTTGGACTACACAAAACAATCAATACAATCACACTAGTTTAAAATTGTTGGTAAAATTCTAACCATTTAAAATTTTAAACAAACTAAACTACTGAAAATTTCACCTTGATTGAAATTTCTAGTATAACATAGTACTTATTATGATTTCCAGCAATATTGCAAGCTCACAGAAATTTCAAAATTTTTGATATATCGAAAATGCTAAATATACTATCGAAATTTCAGATGGTACCAAAATTTTGAATTGTCTACCGGAACTTTTTTAAGCAAGTATGTTTCAAATTTTTGTCAGAGATAATTATAGATTATGAAATTATGAGTGTCAAATACAAATGTGGAGGTGGAAAGTTAAAATCTCTCTGTCTTTCCTTGGATACCTCTTGATTGACCGGCCCACTAATTTTGTGTAATGAAATGTTTTGGAATTTAGTGTGGTACTTGCCGTCCACCTAGCATTAATAACACAAACTAAAAAAGTGGGCATACAGAAAAAAACAGTACAATTCATTGATAGACTCGGAACTTAATGGCAGCAACTTCAACCAAACATTCAACCAAATTTCCTTTGACTACCACATGTATTTTTTGTTTTTTAGTATTTACTATTCCCTCGCTAACTACAAACATGCCTCAATGAACGCGATATGAATGCTTAACTGCATGCTGGCATTCATAGTTCAACAAACATCTTGCATTGTGTAGGTACCAACACTCAAAATGACAGCGCCGAAAACAAGCTTTTAATGTTGCAGAAATGCATAACTTGCAATGACTGTTTAAAACTATGTACAACTTCTGTATGATCATCATCTATAAGCAAAGAAATTAACAATTTTTGTTGCTTGCCTCATCTAAAACCACAAGCCATAATATCTATATACCTTACAGCGAACTTGGTCTACACATCATATACAGGCATCCGTTCTTCAATGGTACCTCGGCAGATAGGACACTTCTTGCATTTTTCGCAGCAAGTGCTGTTAACCGTGTCAGAGGTCAAACAAAGGCGACAAACATAAAAACAACCAATTTATGTTCCTGATAACACCGTATTAAATATTGACAGTGGTGGAAAACTATTTGTTTAAGCAATTACCTGCAAAGAACGTGATGCTTGCACGGAAGGAGGACCACGTTAATCTGCTCTTCAAAGCAAACTCTGCATAAGATCTTCTCCTGATATATTTACCAATCAATTTAGAGCGTTTTAGATCCCGGTGTGGTTAACGGTCATTCAATTATATGATATGCAATCAAGGTCGAGAATGTTACATTTTGAAGTCTTTCATATTCCTCCTGGCTATATTTTGTAACTTCTGTTTGCTCACCAAGTGCAGCTTGAAGTCTCCAAATCTGCGAGTTATGAAAGAGCGGGTTATTGAAATCTATGAAAAAGATTTGACACGCTAACATACTTGTTTTAACTATTCTTAAATAACGAAGCCATTAAGTAAGAAATAATGCGGTAGCTATATATTTTGGTATAAGGAAACAACAATGTCTTCACCTCCTCAACAAGTTCTCCTCTAGGCATTTTCTTCACCGTATCGGGGGAGAAAGTATTATACCTAAATAGGAAACCAAATCACGCATCATTATACACCGGTCAGAATGATGCAAACCTTATTTCAAGCACACTAAGACCATTATACGCTAAAAAACCTGTAGCACTGACACCTTGAAGAAAGGTGTCTTTGTCAGTGTAGGTGTCTGAAACCGATACCGACACTTGTGATTCCGTTTAATTTGTTCATTTTTTCAAATTATTACCAGTGTCGGTGTCGTGTTTCCGATGCGTGCTTCATAGGTATAATGTAACATAGAGTACTGACCCAGAACTCCCGGCACAAAAAAGTCTAGCTTCTTCCTCTCTGCTTCCTTCATCTATTGACCACCAACCTAGCAACCTGTCAGAAGAGGAAAAGTTCAGTCAAGGACAATTTCTTCATATCAGTTCAACAACGTTTTATGATTTTCTAGGTTTCGTAGAGAATCGATACTTAAAGATAAATTTGTTTTTCTAGCTAATAAAATATAAATTGATAATACCTTGATCCGTGATGGAAAAATCCAAAGCAGTCACGGGATTTTGATGCTATAGAAGAGTAGCTTCTAGGAACATCTCCGTGATAGAGTAATAGAACAATCTTCTCTATTAACCTATATGCTGCAAATAATACACCAGCTCCTTGCAACAGAAAAAGGGGAGAAAAAATTCCCCAAATCGGTATATTTTTTGCACCCGATGGTGTTCCCTGAAATTTAAGGTTCAAATAACAAAAATATAAAGGAAGAAAATCAGAGAATGAAAAAACCGGCAAAGCGTGAGAACAAAACTGATAGTTATTGTTAGCATTTATGCATACCTCTAAATGCATAAAAAGAAGTATTTGGAAACCAATTAACGGAATTTTCATGATATGTCCACCTATGTCCTGCAAACTGCAAAACGGATTTTGCTGCACATCTTCATCGGTAGAAATAACTATGCCTTCTCTACTCCATTCAAGATATCTTATTGTATTCGACGACGAACATGGTTCTGTAATTTGACAGTTTCCATGAATTGTAGGATTGTGCCACTTTGTACAAACGAGAAACGCAAAGCACTGTGCAATGCTGCAAAAGGTGAAAACAATTTCATGATGGAAAAAGCACAAGCCTAATAACAAAAGATTAAATTAGTGTATCAAGAGAAATTGATTATACCCATAGTTGATAAACAAGTCCCACCAGCCTAGAGCAGCAACATCACCTGCAGGTAATCGCAAAATTATTAGTAACAAAAATGTTTGAGGAGTATCAAATATCAATCACATTCAAACAGTGAATAATTGTTTTAGAGAAGAAATTAAAGCTTACCGCATATCTTTAAAAGAGTGAACACTGTGGCAGCAATAAAGAAGACCATGGATATCGAAATCCAGAAGTGCTGCAAAACAGAATCATACAAATTAAATTTGGTAAAGAGTTTCGGGAAAATAGAAAAGTAAGACACATAATCTACGAAGTAAAACACTTAAAAATCTGTCTTTGTAGTAGCAAGTATTCAATAACAAGGTAATGTTAGTAGTATGCAACTTGAATGTGAAATACTATGCAACTTGAATGTTGGTCAAACAATGAATTGAATGCCCAAAAAGATGTCAACTATTAAGGATCAATCAAATGAAGCTTTAATATGACAGTCAATAAATCGCACTTCAATCGTCATAGGAATATTGTCAAAATAGTGCAAAAGCAGGATAAAACAAAGAGAACTATGGCTACTTGAATTGAAAATCATATTTGTTTTTATTTTCTGCTTTTCACTAAAAATTCCAAAAAAAACGTACAAATTTTTTAAAACAAGGTGACATTTGAATTACTAAAACCAAAACAGAAACAGGCCCTTAAACTCTAATAACTAATACGTTTCGACGAAGATTAAGTATTATTTAGATCCATACACATCAAAGACTTTTAAATTGTGGATACTTCCCAATCTTATTGCTTTTTCTAATAATCAGATTCAAAAATCCATCAGGGATTTGAACAAAAGTTACTGAAAACCATCACAACTGTGCATTTTAAATTGCCTTTAAGTGCTCAGTTCGGGAGTAACATCGAGCGGTCTTTATTCAAATTCAGAGCATATCACTAATCAATCAATTAATCAACTACTGAATGATGTCTTACAGGAAGTGTTTCCCATACTGCTTCATCCGTCATATTTTCCTCATCTCCAGGCATCAAAGCTCTACACATCCTATATAGAGATAGATTTTTGTCAATAAAGCACGAGTTTGATAGAAGAGTAAAAGTATTGAACATTGCAGCATATATAATTGATTAACATGGAGTCTAACTAAAGCAGTCAATGGCGGCGCTATCTCGCTATAGCGGAGCGGAGGCCGGCTGCTATGGGAAGAGCCTTAGCAGTGCAGAACACTATAGCAGCCACTATTGGGTAAATTGCAGGTAGCGGGGGAGGAGCAATTCCCGGCCCGGAGCAGTTTCTGCCCCGCTATCCTTTTCCCCTCCCAGAAACCGAGATCACCCCTTAAACTTAAAACGTTTTAAGGGTAATTTTGGGTTTTTCAATCAAATTTGAGTTAAGAAAATGAAGAGTTTGAAGAAGATAATAAAGTGGAGGATGAAGAGGAATATGTTGAAGAAAACTTGTTTGATGATGATGTTTTGCTTTAAAAATTTCAATTATGATGATATTTGATTTCTATGATAGTTTGAATTTTAATATTTAGTACTTAAGTTTGAATTTTGGGATGTGATGTTTTAATTTAGATTTGTAAATGTTTTAGGGGTTTTTGAGTTATTAGTTTAATTTTACATTAAAGATACGTTTAAAATTATTACTCATGTAATTTGTCCAAAAAAATGATCAAATTGCGGTCATCCCGCTATAAGCTATCCCATTATCCCATTTTTGGGGTCGGCTGCTCTGAGCCGCTATCTAGGATTGACTACTTAGTCCAACCATGTGTAGCCATACAATTAATTATTACAAACATATAAATTAGGACACTTTTCAACAATCAAAATGATTTTCGTAGAAAAGACCCCAAAAGTGTAAGTTACTTTTAAATCAGTTTCATAATGTTGAACGATTGCGGCAACTCTGTTGCCAATTTTTTAAGACAGTTCCAACTGATATTTCAAGATGGAGGACTACTAATGATAAAAATATAAATGGAAACTCCTTATCAAGGTATGCGTAACTCAACCCCTACAAGTGACTTGTAAGGTGAGAACTACCTAAACCTCTTAAGCACTACTCATGTCATATCTCTATGTGATGTTGGACTAAAGATACCCCCTCTGTCGAATTCGGATTGCCTTCCGCAGATAAACACACAGTTTGCACACAGTAAACAATCTCGGTCGTTAATTTGAGATTGGACTGCTTAAATGACAAATTAACAAAATCAATTTTAAGATCTCACAGTTAGTTTAGATCAGACGGCCCACGTTAAAAATCTATGTTGTCAATAATACACTATAGCAGCACCACAGCAAAATAGAGTAGTGGTTGTAGGGTTCCATGCGACACCTTTGACCCGCGAGCCTCCGTCAATAATTGCGGGTGTAGTGGCTGCTATTAGCGGACCAAATCGCTATCGCAGCCACCATTAAGGTTTCAGGGAAATTCCTCAAAGCCTGTTTTTAAAACCCCTTGTTTTTTTAAGGGTATAAATGTCAATTCAGACCCTTTTATGAGTAAAATTATGTTTTTCATTCCGTTATTTCTTTCCCACACAAACAATCGTTATGGTTTTTCTACTTTTGGTTCAGTTTTGTTATGTTTCTCTTCTCAATTGAAGTTTTATTGCTTTGTATTTTAGATTCTTTAACTATTAATTATGAAGGTCTCTTTAATTTTGTGTATTTTTCTGTTTTTGAGTATTTATGGTTACTTTGCACACTTATTTTAGTCTTTGCAATAGCATATATTCCGCAATCCACTATACCGCTATAGCTTTTTAGGGGTTAGTGCTACGCAACTCTATTTGAGATTAACAACTTAATAAAAACTGTAAAATGCTTGTATAGCACCAAATCCATTTCCCCGTCACTCACACCCAACACGATGAAGGTGCTAAAGGATGCAATGAACAAAGGCAGTCCAAATTTACCACAATTAAGACTGACCAGGGACAGACCACGGTTTAGGCAGATTTGCAACATATAGAATATAAATTTTTGGCAAGCTATAAATGAAAAAAGATAATTACCTGATGTTATCGATCAAAATCACTAATTCAAATGCTATAAGAGGTATGAAGACAATCTTTAAATTCACCACTGCACCATTACGATGAATAGTTACTTAAATTGATAGCATATTTCAACCAAAGAATTATAGAAGTAACATAATTCATCTTTATGGAAAGAGACAATGATCAATAATAATATCCATGATAATTGTGCGATAAGAAATGTTGCTTACCATAACTGCTTCCAAGATGTATGCACAGAAGAAGCTCAAATGCCACAAGCAATGGCGTTGCTATGACTGAATGACAAGGAGCCCACTGCGCGTGAACAAAATAGTTTTACATCAGAAACAAAAACCTACTACACGACGAATTTCTAATTTCTCTATAAAAAAGAGAAGATATTTGAAGTATGTCTTACTTGGCGACCATGAGGCATTGAAGGAGCGGGCAAGGAAAACCTGCCCCGTGCTACCACGACATGAAAAAGCCAAAGTGGAAAAAATACAGTCCTGCCAAAAAGAAAGATGTGTTCAAAAATGGAAAATGTAAAAATAAGGTGTTCGACACGGATTTGATACCAATATGTATCTAAAACGTCCTCAGAAAGTATTCAATAAATTTCTAATATCCAGATAAGTAGTACATTCATATCCAAATCCAAATCCGGTTAGAAAAAACACAAGACTCTTACCATCGAAAGACACATTGTCAATCAGATATGATCATACGACAAAACATTGATCAGTAACTGTTACCAAGTAAAGACACATTGACATTGAGATACGAAACAACAGTGATCGACATTAATTACATAATCTTTTATCATTTTAACTGTGTTTCGTTACTTCATCTGCACTCCGAGAGAAAGAGAGGCAGAAAAACACTTGCTGCTCATTCCATATTGCATAGCACACCAAAATGGAGTCTCTTCACCAGCTAGAGATTGTAACTGTGCACACCGCAGACACCGTTTTTCCTTTGGCTTATGCGCCCAGTGTTGCTGAGTTGCCTCTGTTGCTATGGTTGCCACATTTTCTGCATTCTAATGTCCTATTCTGTGGCCCAAGCTCCTTTCTAGCTCTACTCTTTCGCCCATCGGCGAAGTTACTCTAGTCGCAGAGTAACGGATTTGCATAGCTGTTGTTCATTGTGTACACTATTTTCGCCGTCGTACTCGCCCGTATCCCATACATGTATCTTACTATATCGCGATAAGTGGATAGTCACTGAGCTTAAATGCACATTATATTTCACAATTATAGTAAATTCCACTTCCTTAATCAAACAAATTCACTTCACTTTCATTAGAACAGACAACACTAAAACACAGGAATTCACACACACAAATTCAGTGTCACAGGGAAAGCAACAATCAAGAACTCAAACTGAAGCAGTAAACTATCCTATTTTCAAAGCAAAATCAATTTTAAAAAAATTATCCTAATACTAAAAAAACATACCAACGCAACAAAACACACAGCATACAAATGAAGGGTGAAAAACAATACCCAGTATCACAATAACTGGTCGATTGAAAACAAAAATGAAAAATCAAACATGCATTGAAGAAAACAAAAAGGGGAAAACAAAATTAACACCAAACATTGTCAACAGCACAAAAACTCACAATTTCAGGATAAAGCACTAGGTATGAATGATGATCATTCAAAACAAAGATAAAATTTTGTTCCGACCCTTTGATTCGTTTATACATTTTCACTAAAGAGATGATAAAAAAGAAGAAAAAAAACTCACCACCATGAGAAAAGGAAGAAACGGTCAAGCTTGAGGACAAGGAGAAGAGTGAAGGAGAAAAGAAAGACATGAGCTAGCATAGCTTGAAAGGACTTTGCGACCCTTCTCCAACTCATCACCCTCCTTCGAACGAGCATTTTGGTTTTCTCAGAAAAACGAAGAAATCGCAGAGACCAAGCAGAGAGACAGAAACACGCGTATCTATGATGAAACCTGGAATTTAGAAAAGGATGATGGAATGAAAATTCCTCGGAGGTTGCAAAGAGTGTGACTTTGGAACGAATAAATTTTTATTTTTTTTAATTAATTAACTTTCTCTCTCTATCTATTTCTCTCTCCTTTTGCCTTCGATTTCACGCAAAAGCAATCTTTTTATTTATTTCTTTTTTCTGAGTTTCTAGTTGTTAAAAAAAGAAAAAATGATCGACTTTTGTTAAATAAAGAAAAGAAATTGTCAATGCGCTCCTCTTGTCTTACACGATGTGTTTTCTATGAAATGAGAAGGCGTGTAAAAAAGATATAGATACAACAAGCATGATTTGTCTTCTTTTATTTAAGAGCGTCAATAATTCAATAAATTTAAATATTTTATTTTAATTTTTAATTTTATATATATATATATATATATATATATATATATATATATATATATATATATATATATATATATAAAACAAAATAATATTTCTAATATGATTGATTATAAAAAAAATCACAAATATTTATAAAATCCAATATCAAATTAAAAAATTAGAGGGAGACGTTAGGGCCCTCGCCAATCGAAGCACCGTCCGGTCACTATCTTTACGGAACATATGGTCTCACTTTTAGGACATATGATGTATATCTCCTCACGAGAACGAGTCATGCCACACCTTCCTAAAAAGTAGGTGGTCGGCAGTCTCCTCCACTTAATAGGAGTGGTTACCACTTCTTAAGGTTTCTTAAACCTTAAGTTCAATAGCCTCTATAAATACCTATTGACGACAACACGACATACGGTGAAATGCAAATGAGGATGAAACACACATGTTATGCATATGGTATATGAGTCATACTATGATATATGATCAAATGCAAATGCAAATGCTGACGACATGGCTCGACTCTTTTGGTGATATGACAAGACTGGAATGTTGATTCCTCAACATGGAGACACTATCATTCTGCTTGAGGACTAAAAAATGCTACTGCTGAGCACATCTCTGCCACAATGATAAACTATATCAAGTTGATGATCCTTGTAGGAAGGATGAAGAGCTGCTTGGGGATTCTTCAAGTAAACTGCCCCAGATTAGCTGTTTGTTGTAGATGAACTGATAATTGCTTCAGCTTGTTTGATTCTGTAAATGACTGCGTTATTGTGCCAGTGGAAGGTTTGCCCCAACATGAGTCTTAAAAAATCTTTTGTATAAACCAATTCTGAGAAGGCCTTGCCCCAAGCAACAGACCTCGAACTGATTCTCAACATGATTTGGAGGGAACTTGCCACTGATAGGATCACTGACCAAGTTTCTCAACTGTTTGAAAATTCTTTGAAAGGAAAGTCGGTTTGCAAACAAAAGTGTTCATACAAACATGGTATTGCAAAGTTCATGCAACTTTTGAAATCAAAATCATTTTTTGAAATATGCAAAGTATAAGAGTTTCATATCAGAACGCAACGGTTCAAAATACTAAAAGTGTAAAGCAAAGGTGCAATGCCAAAATAATTGATTTGCAAAAGTTTTTTGGAGTCAGTTTACGCAACCTTGTTGTAGTATGCTTTCAAAATAATCTTGCTTCAGTTAGGTCTTTTGAGGGTTGTAATGTGACCTGGTTCACGGTTAAGAAACAAAGGATAAAATCTCAAAGTTTATTTGTGGTCACCCAATATACGTGATGATCTTCAGTCCTACGCTCAATTAACTCATATTATTCGCTCAGGTTCCCATAGGTTGGAAATTACACTGATGATAGCTATGATGATGGTTCAGAAGTCAAGGGATCTTTGAAAAGGCATTCATTAATTCCTTATAATATTTGGGTGTTTTGGCATTGAGGATTTTCAAGGTGAAGGGTTTAAAGATCTCCTCTTTTATCATCCCTAGCTTTTGCCTGAACTGTTTCTTGCAAAGATTACAGTCAGTGGGATGCTCCAGTTTTGTCTAAGTCTCCTTCATAGGTTTTGACTTAGCGGGCTTTTATTATTTATTTTTTTTAAAGAAAGTGACTGCTTGGCTTTAATGATTATGGTGAACCATCGTTGGCTTTTTGGCTTGGAAAACATCTTCGACACTTACTTGTTATGTGCGAAAGAAAATTGTGAATACAACCTTTATATGAAAGGTGTATTACAGGAAAGCACAATCAAGTTAACTGAGAGCTACCCGTCTCAAGGTTAAGATTGCGGGTTTTTTGTAAATAAAGAAACTCCAACTTCTAGGCTCGAAGGGGTTGACAAGGGATTAACTTCATTATTTCTCTGGTATTTAGGGGATTGAAACAATGCCTTACATCTACAGCAATGTTTGATTGAAAGCATACTAACAACAGTTATGGGTACAATGTTTTCGTCATCCTCCCTCAAATATTTGCATAATCAAAAGTTTGGACAATAAGTAAATATTTGCAAGATAAAGCATAAAAGTGCAAATAATAGACAAGATGAATTGAAATCAAAAGTTGTAATGCTCATTTCATTAATACGAAAGTACAAACACTAATTAAAGGTAAACAACTTATACAAAATAAAGGAAAGTACAAACAACGAGAAACAAAAGGCCTAGTGACTAATCATAGCAAGGATGAATTGTCATGTCTGAGACACTGGCTCTTAGGAAGATAGTCTGCAGGAGTCGATTGAAGCTTCACTTTTGATGCACTGGCAAGGGATTGTTTTGGACATTCAGATGACTATCCTTAAAATCAAAGATTCCAGTTCTAACCAACTCACGCACTCTAGCTTTCAGTGCATAATAATTCTCCAAGTCATGGCTTGGGGCACGCTCATAAAATGTACAGTGAAGATCGATTCTAAATCCAGCTGGAAGAGGATTAAGAGGAGGTTGCAGATTCCTTGTAGTGATCAATCTTTGTTGAACTAGATCAGGATAAAGTTCTATATATGTCATGGGAATAGGATCAAATTGATTCCTATTCCGATACTAATTTTGTCCAACAGCTGGACATTGAGGAATCTGAGTTGGTCGTAGAGCAACAACAATAGGAGTAATGGCAAGAATAGTAGGGTGGTTATACTGAGGTTAGGGATGAGGCATCCTCACTTCAGCCATAACAGCATTGGTCTGATCTTCTCTCTTCTTGTGGAAGATCCCAAAGAATTTCTTCACACCATTAGAAGATTCAACAGCCTTAGATGCTTTACCATTTTTCATACCTTCTTCCAATCTCTGCCCAATAGTTACCAGATCTGTAAAGTTTGAAAAGACACTTTCAATCATCTTATCCTAATAGAAAGGGGACAGAGTGTCCATGAACATTCTAGTTAGCTCCTTCTCTGCTAGAGGGGGTTCAACTTGAGAAGCTAACTCTCTCCACCACTGAGCATATTCCTTGAACGACTCTCTCTCATTCTGAGACATATTTTGAAGTTGACGACGGTCAGGATCCATGTCAAGATTGTATTTTCATTGCTTCATAAAAGCATTTACAAGATCTTGGAAGCAGTGGACATTGTTTTGTTATAAGTTCATATACCACTTGAGAGAGGCGTCATTCAAGCTATCCTAGAAGCAATGGATGAGCAGCTTCTAATTGTTGGTATAAGCAGCCATCCTTTGAAAGTACATGACTAGGTGAGCCCTTGGGCAAGAGTGACCCTTGTACTTTACGAACTCGGGAGTTTTGAACTTATCAGACATAACAAGGCCAGAAACTAAACACATGTTGTCTGCATCAACATTGAAGAAATCAGCACCCTCAACGGCTTGTAGTTTATTAATTATGATCTAAAAATGTTCACGGACGACCTCAGACTCAACAAAATCTTCATGGTCTTCACTTGAGCACTGGTAGCATTATACTCATATAGAGGGTTCTCAAAGGAAGCTCGGACAGTCTGGGTAACAGTGTAGACCACAAAGACTGGAGCTTGAAAAACTGGTGTGGCAATCTGACCAATCATAGCAGTAGATGCAATGGTGGAGAGAAGTTATGAGGTAAACCAAACTCTGGTCAAGTTGAAGGTGGCATTTGAACAGGTGGAAGATCAGCGCTTGAAACTTCCTAAATGACAGTTCTTTGAGGTGGCTCCCCTCTGGCAATCAGGACTTGAAGCATCTCGGTGAGCTTGGCCATGCCTGATTTCAAATCATCGATCTCCATTCAGATTTATGCATTATGTACCTCTTACTCTGACATTCTGCGTCTGTAGTTAGCTCTAGTCCGGTATCGGTGTCGAGGAATCAGCTTGACGACTCACAGGTACACTGAAAGATAGAGACAGTTGGACACGAGTTACTGGACAGACAGATGTATGGAATGAATCATGCAATGCAATGCAAGACAAGATGCAAAACACACATAGCCGGATCAAAGGTTCAAGATCACAGCATGAGGTATGGGTAAAGAACCAACCACATGGTGCATACTAGGGGTAAAGCATCTACACAACGGGTTCTAACAAAGTTCCTAGAGTCATCTATAAATCTTTTAAATATTATCAGCTTACGTGATTACTTGTGGGCTAATAATATTCTCAAGATAAACTCATCTGAGTGTAGTATCGCATGACAATCATCACAGGTATACATCTGGATAATCATTGCACTATGTCCTAAAAGGTAAAGAGGGGTAAATGGTAACTAAAGGTCCTCAACTTCACGGGCTCATCGGAAAAAGTGATGCAAATACGTTTACTCGCATCAGACACCAGTAATCCCAAATGGGCCTCCACTGAGTGTGGTTATCATATGCTATACATGTTAAGACTACTCCCAACATCTAACTATTGATTATACCACAATTTTATCATAGGTGTACGCTCAAGTTCGGGTTAGCACTTATCTCACCACTCAAGGTAACAACCCTGCATATAGAAAAACTCATGCACAAACAGATATATGTACAAATATATATAAATATACAAGCAAGCAAACATATAGCAAACACAAATATAAGCAAGGTGGACTTAAAC